AAAGTAAATTGCACTATGCTACAATAGCTTTCACTTTTAAGGAAGATATACTAATAATGACATCATATTTTAACACCTTCTTCTAAATGAGAATAACCATAATACACTGAGAAACAATAACAAATAAAGTTAAATTAAGTTGAACATGGTCATGACACAACTCAAACTATTATAAGGAAAATAATTTAAATGATTAAGAAAATATTATCCACAAAGGTCATATGGAAATAATTTAAAATAAAGCATAATATGACATCTAATTGTCAAAATTGATTTTTTTTTTAATTTTCTTACCTGGAGCAGCAAACAGAGATGCACAAAAACACATGCAAACCAACAAACAAAAATACAGTGGATTGACGTAATGGAGAGAAGATATCTATTCTTATTAATTTGACCAAAATTTCAAAAATGATTTTGCATTCTCAGTATAATTTTTTAAACCATTACCAGCTTCACTCCATTTTCTAAGCCTATAAATCTGCTTTTTGAGGGAATCTCTAGAGGCACTTTTAATTTTTATCACATGTATTTTTTAGTTTCAGCAAGATTAAGAACAATCTAAACACACATGGAGAAATTGATGACATGAATAGCCATATATCTAAAATAAATTGAGATAATAATTCATAATCTTCCCTCAAAGAAACCACTGGACCCAAATGGTTTCACAGGTGAGTTCTACCAAATATTTTAAAAAGAACTCATATCAGTTTCCCACAATCTTCTCCAAAACATAAAAGCAAAGGAACCCTTTCTAACTCATTCAATGAGCCCAGCATCACTCCCAATGCCAAAGTTAGATAAATATATTACAAGGAAGGAAATTTGCACCCTTATCTTTCATGAAGATAGACACAAAAATCCTTAATAAAACATCAGCAAGTATCATTTAGCAACGTATTGGAAAAATTATACACAAAAACCAAATGGTATTTATTTTTGTATATGCAAGGCTGGTTCAATATTTGAAAGTCAAAACAAAATATGATCATCAACTAACACAGAAGACACAAAATTTCACAAAATCCAATGGTCAAGCCAGTATAAAAACTCAGAGCCAACTAAAAATAGATGAGAACATCTTCAGACTCATGAGGAACATCTACAAAATACCTACTGGCATCATACCCAACAGTGAGAAATTAGACGCTTTCCCCCTAAGAGGGAGGAAAGACAAGGATGTTCCCTGTCACTACTCCTACTCATCATCATACTGGCAGTCCTAGCTGGTGAAATAAGACAAGAAAAAGAAATAAGACATAAATTTTGGAAAGGAATATATGTAACTATCACACATGATATGTCTATATAGAAAATCCAAAAGAAATTACAAAAAGAAAAGTAGATATGGCAAGATTTTAGGACACAGTCCAATGCTTTCCCTTTTACCAGAAATAAACACTTGAACTTTGAAATTAAAAAAAAATATTATTTATAGTAGCATCTAAACATTTTGTACTTAGGTATAAATATAACAGAATATATATGGCATGTATATGTGCAAAAGTACAAAACACTAATATAAAAATTAAAGAAGATCAAATAAATCTATGGTTTTGTTCTGTCAGCTGAGAGGGTCTAGAAGTAATGCCAGCACAGTGGAAATGAGCATACCTAGAAACCAGATGTTAGTTTCTAATATCATTCTCTGATCAAAGACACTAGGACTCCTTAGAGAAATGCTTGATTCTAGGAGTTGACAAGAAATATATAAGATGGGCCTGAAGCATAGTGCCAAAAAGAAAGTAAGTGCTAAAAAATAAAATAAACAATAGTGGGCTATAGAAACAGGCATATAAATGATAGCTGAAAGAAGTTCCATTGACTAAAGTTTAAACAATTTAAACAACAAAATAAAGCAGTATTGAGTCATAGCCCAACCACAAAATAAATATCCATGAGTCTACACTGATGTAAGTAAATGATCAAATAAGCAATAAACATATAGAGAACAAACAGATACTCTATGCAGGAAATTATATATGGATGTGTGTATATGTGTTTCATATATATGTATGTATGTATGTGTGTGTGTGTGTGTGTGTGTGTGTGTGTGTGTGTGTGTATTATTATTATTTTTTTTTGAGATGAAGTTTCACTTTCCTTGTCCAGGCTGGAGTGTCATGGTGCAATCTCAGCCTACTGCAACCTCTGCCTACCAGGTTCAAGCAATTCTCCTGCCTCAGCCTTTCAAGTAGCTAGGATTACAGGCATGTGTCACCAGGTTGGCTGATGTTTGTATTTTTAGTAGAGACAGGGTTTCACCATGTTGGTCAGGCTGGTCTTGAACTCCTGACCTCAAGTGATCCACCTGCCTCAGCCTCCCAAAGTGCTGGGATTATAGGCATGAGCCACCACATCTGGCTCAATAAATACACACACACACACACACACACACACACACACACACACACACACATATGTGTATATATATATACACACACACATATATATATACGTGTGTGTATATATATATATACACACACACACACACATACATACATATATATTTTCTTAAAGAGATAGAACATAATTTTTCACTCGTTTGTTAAGTGGGTGCTGAGTATAGTGACCTCTTTCCAAAAAGCATGATGTTGAAAGAGAGAGAAAGAAAATGAACAGCTTTGCAGTGGGCAAATCTGGTTAACACCTCCACAAGCCAGCTGATAAATGTCAGCATCAATAATGATAAGTTATTTTGATAGTATTCACCTTTGATAATAGGTGATGATAATTGCAATTTATCTTTGTGGTCTTCCTCCCAAAATGCATGAATGCAGTCTAAGCATGAGATAAATTCCAGTTGAGGGATGTTATACAGAACAAGTGACCAGTAAAAGTGACCAGTAAGCCTCAAAATTATAAAGGTCATTAGAAGCAAGAAATGTCCGAGAAACTGTCACAACCAACAATAGACTAAGGAGATATAACTACTAAATGGAATGTGGTATCCCTGTATGTCATCCTGGCACAGAAAAAGGTTGTTGGGGAAAAACTGAGGAAATTTAAATAAGGTATAGACTTTGGTTTGTTACCATGTGTCAATTATGTTTCATTAATTGTGACAAATATCATACTAACGTAATGAGAAACTGGGGGTTGGGAGCTCTCTATTATCTTTTCAATGCTTTTGTAAATATAAAATTATACTAAAAGTTAATTAAAAGATAAACTAGCAAAATGTTTTAATTAGAAAAAATGATTAATGTAAACACTTCATGGGTATACTACAGAAATATTTTCTCAAGTATGGAAGTAATATCCAAAAAGCAATTTTTGGCTCATATGCATTAAAGTAGTAAAACTACTCCCTTCATTTCCATGACATCATTTCTCCTGCCTTTCTTCTTTCTTTTTCTCTTATATCTGATTTTCTTTTCTTTAAATCTCATTGACTCTTACATATAGGTTGTTTGATGATCTACAAATCTTCAGCGCATACACCAGTATCGTGCCCTGACCTCATTTCTAAACGTCCACAGGCACCCATCTCCATTCATAAACCCCAAATCTGTTTTTTCCTTCTAATCTTCCCCTACTGTGTTTAACAGCCAATCATTCTCCAGGCATAATGAGTCAGAAGAGATCCCAAGACACCTGAACACTTTGCGAATATTGAGACAAGAAACATGAAATACAATTATGTCATCAAAAAGTACCTGACTGAAAGAAAAGAACAACTCAAATTAACTTTTTGGTTAAAGCATGAAGACAGTGACAACGTGTATTAAAATGCGGAGTAGGTCGCTCAAGAAAAAACACTGAGGGCCAACTGAATCCCATTTTCATCATTCCTCACACCATAAAACATATTAAATTGTAAATTTATAACCTTCAGAAGAAGTCTGAAATAATCAATAGTGGGGGAAAAAAAAAGCCCATTGCAGTTCTGAAGTGTGGAGTCTATCCTTTACAAGTCCCATGTGAATCATAAAACTGGAACGTCGATGAGGCTTTAGAGTTAAAATCTTAAGTCCGTTTAAAAACCTAATTATTACATTAGCCTTTTGGAGCAAAGGTCTAAACTATCATGAATTTTGGTTTACAAGGAAAACTAGTATGATATAAAACTGAACAGAAATGCTGGGATAAACCCACAACTTCCAATAGTGCTCTTGAAGAATTCCATACCTCTAATCTCACAAATATCACCGCTATTAAATGTAACGAGAGAATATATCCAAAATGTGCACTGCCATGAGGGACTGTAGCCAAAGTGCAGAGTATGCTGTTTGTCTTGGAAATGTCCCACCTCTTGGTAAATTCTTTTAATCTTTTAATCTTTGCCAGTACCCTCCTGCTTCATGCTTCCCTCTGCTATCCCAGGCTCTACTAACTCACTAAACACCCCCATTCCCTCCTCCTCCAGCAAGAGCTCTATGCTTTCAAACCAAATTTCCTGTCAGCTCCACTTTTCAATCAGAACTCCAATTTCCTCAGGCTGGCTGATTTTGGCAGTCACTAAGCAAAATCCTGATCTGATAATCTGATTAAATTAATTCAAAGTAAGTTGTAACTGGCTAATAGAGTAAATTTTTGAGAGAAGCTGAATATTTGACAATCTAATTTGTAGAATATACAAAGGAGATACATTGAACCGGAAACCTGTCCTCTGTTAATACTCAAATTTCTTCCATTACTTCTTTTCTTTCTTCCTTTCTCTTTCCTTCCTTCCTACTTCCTCCTTCCTTTTCTTTCTCTTTCTTTTGTACTCTGTTTTATTCTTTTTCTTTTCTTTCCTTTCTTTACCTCCCTCTCTCCCTTCCTCCCTTCTTTCCTTCCTTCTTTCCTTTCTTCTGTCCTTCCCTCCCTCCTTTCTTCTTTCCCTTCAGTTTTTCTAGACTCTCAAAATTCTCCTTTACTAGTCACTTTTAAAAATCTGTAATGAGAAAAAAATTTGAGTAAGATTTAGGATTATCCTTTCTCTTGCTTGTAATAATCTGTCACCAACTTAAATTGTGAACAGTGCATTTGGAAGTATCACAATGAGCTACTGCTTTTTAAATTCAAATGCTTAACCTGCCACAAATAGCAACTATTGATTAGAATATCTTTCCCAGAAATGTTAGCTATCTTTTGTAAGTAATTACTGCTATTTACATCAGGACATCAATGGAAAGCACATCAATGGATATCATATATTCATTTTTACTAATTATTCCTTCAACATATTAATTAATAATAAATAATACCATGACTTATATCTTTCTACGAAATAATCAAAATGGTCTATTTCATGTTTTTATGTGCCAGGTGCTCTTCTAAGTGCTTTGGGTACAATAATACATTTAATCATCAAAATGAAATTATAAATTGGTAATTTTTATATACTTCCTTTCAACATATTTGGAAACTAAGATTTGGAGAAGCTAAGAAATTTGACAAAAATTACACAACAAATTGTATTTAAAACCCACTGCATGAGTCTATAAAAATATACATACTGTTTACTCCTCCAGGAATATATATGTATGCATGGTTCCTTAAAAAAAGTAAGTTATAAATGAGTATTGATACTTTCTCAAGCTCAGTCTCTTGCAGAAGGTGTGCAATCAGAGAATAGGAGTTAGACCAATGTTAAAAGATTGCCTTGCACAGCAAGCATTCTTAGGGTATCTTGGATAAACCTGGAAGAAGGTGAATGGGGTATGCTAGCCAGGAGGATCAATAAGAAGTAGTGTTACTTTCAGGTCATTTCATCTAAGGAGTAGGCGAGAGTAGAGGTACAGACTTCACAGCCAGCCTTTGCCAGGCTTGTGAATGACAGTCCTGGTGGCAAAATAGTGAACTCAACTGACTAGGTAAGGCACACAGGAAGTAATGTCCCCACAAATCCTAACAGCAGGTGAAAGAGAAAATCAGTCAACCTAATCACTGTGAAATAGGAAGAGAAAAATATAAGAAGTTCTTATTGGAAAAAAACCTTTATGTAATCCCATAATATAGCCTAATAATATAGTATAGTATTATTTCATTTATTTACATTGAATACTTTGGCATAGCAAAAGATATTGCTATGCCGAATACCACCAAGTAGCAAGCTATGCAAAGAAAATATTTGAACACTTGTTCCATAAACATCATAGCAGACTGTTTGCAAAGGTAACACCTTCTTGAAGTTTAAAATATCTAGTCATACAGAAGCATACAAACCATAAGATAAAGATGCCTTCCTTTCCATAATGATGGTATTCTGTTCCCCTGATATAACTACTAAACTAAGTATGTTTTCAGGAAGTATACATTATATGAACAAATACATAATCCCTTGTACTGGGTTTTTTTTTTGTAGTTTTTATTTTTTATTATGTATGTATGTATGCATGTATGTATATATGTGTCGACCAGGCTGGAGTGCAGTGGTGCAATGTTGGCTAACTGCAACCTCCAGCTCCCGAGTTCAAGTGATTAGAGACAGGGTTTCACCCTATTGGCCAGGCTGGTATTGAACTCCTGACCTCAAGTGATCTGCTCGTCTCAGCCTCCCAAAGTGTTAGGATTACAGGCATGGGCAACTGTGCCCAGCCTATTTTTATTTTTTAAAAATTTATTTATTTATTTGTTTGTTTATTTAAGACAGTGGTATCACTATATTTCCCAGGCTTGTCCTGAACTCCTGGGCTCAAGCTATCCTCCTGCCTCTGCCTCCCAAAGAGTTAGGATTACAGGTGTGAGCCACCACACCTGGCCCTCACTTGTAAAACAGATTAAATCATATTCCATAAACGTGACTTTAATTTGCTTGATATAGTTGGTCTTGTAAGAAAGGAAATCTTACTGCATATATTATGTTGATTTATTTACTTGATTTACTTACATACTTAATATGATGTGTGCGTGTGTGTGTGTGTGTGTGAGACACACTTGTGTGTGTGTGTATAAACCTTCATGTAATTAGGGACCTAAGTTCTTCCTCATTATCACTCCTATTTAATATGCTAAAAATTCAAGCTGTATATGGTGTGTTTAATCATGGGAATATTTTATATTTGTCCTCTATTATCTGTCAGAAATAAGATACTGAGGACTTTAAAAAGTTACTTTATCCAATTACTTCTCATACATTTCATACTGCTGTACATTTGGGGGTGGGGGCAAAAAAGCATATCTAAAGCCAAATGGCAGAGTTTGAAATACCCTGTAGGCCATAGTTAAGTATGTAAAAGTTTAATAAACTTAAATTTCCAGTTACTCTGGCCAAAAGTTTATGTTCCAGAAATATTAACTGACCATCTTAAAAGTAAATCCTAGATGTCGGGGTAGGTGGTTAGGCAAAGCATTCCCCTGAGAATTCTAAGGAAAAATGAAACTTGCTGAAGGAGTCAGAGTGAATGGGGTCATCCCTGCAACAGCAGCTATATTTTCATCTCTTTCCGCTTATCCCCCTTGGCACTGAAGAAATTCAGTACAGAGAAATGTTGCAGCTGGGAGGAGAGACAAGCATCTGGTTAAGAAATAACCCCATAGCTCAGGACAACTTTTGGCCTTCTATGTTGACCTTATTAAATTTCAACTCTTTTTTCTGGAAAAGAAATTCACTGAGAGAAGAAAAAATATTACAAAATATAGTTCTGGCACCACGAGTAAAGCTAATGGGCTTCAGACATCTTTTAGGTGAGGAACATATTTACTATCAAATAAAGACATGGGCTAGCACGAGAAGCATTCTTGGGCTTGTCAGAAAGCCGCATAAGCTCCTCGTGATATTGTGATTTTTAATAACATATACAACTAAACCTTGAATAACACAGCCTTGAACTGTGAAGGCTGTTATGCAGGGTTTTTTTTTTCAATAAATATATTAGAATTGTTTTTGAAATGTGTGACAATTTGAAAAAACTCACAATGTAGTATAGAAATGTCGAAATATTTAAGAAAAGGTTAGATATGTCATTAAATGCATAAAAATATGGAAATACTGCTGTATTTTATCATTTAGTACTATAGAATATATACAAATCTATAATAAAACATTAAAATTTACTGAACTGTACAAACACAAACACAAAGGCATTTGCAGTCGAGAAATGTAAACAAACAAAAATACAGTGTTAAATAACTGCATAAAATTAAGTCATATATGCTGTACTATTTTAATACTTTTATAGCCATCTTTTGTTGCCAATTCATGTTGAAAGTATCAAGTGTGCGTTTAAAGCACCACTGCCACATGAAGCTAATCATCTTCAAGTGATCAGTTCATTTATCCAGTAAAATGTGTAACATAGTAAACAGTGATCTCTTGCAGTTTTTATGTATTTTTCATGTTTAGTGCAATATTATAAACCTTGAATAACAGCATGGACCCATAAGAAGTGCCATTAGTGTTACTGAAAGTGCTCCCAAGGAATAGAGAGAAGTTACGACATTACAAGAAAAAGTTGAATTGTTTGACACATATCATAGATTTGAGGTCTGCAGCTGCAGTTGCCCAGAATTTCAAGATAAATGAATCCAATTTAACAACCATTGCAAAATTAGAAATTCATGAAGCTATAGCTGCAGTATCACCAGCCCTTTCCACAAAATGTTTTTCTATCGTATAGAATGTGCACCTTTTATGTGGTTTTAAGATTGCTGTGAGACAGACATACCTATAGACTCCAATATGATTTGAGAAAAAATGAAATCATTATTTGAAAACTTAAAACAAAAGCAAGGTGAAGGAGGTAAAACTAGAAAATTTGATGCCAGCAAAGGATGGTTTGGTAATTTTAGAATGAAGTGTTGCTTGAAATTGTCAACATAGCAGAAGAAGGCTGGGTGAGGTGGCTTACAGCTGTAATCCCAACACTTTGGGATTACAATGAATCCCAAAGTAATAGGCTGAAGCAGCAGATCACCTTAGGTCAGGAGGTCAAGACTAGCCTGGCCAACATGGTGAAACCATGTCTCTACTAAAAACAGAAAAATTAGCCAGGTGTGGTGGTGTTTACCTGTAGTCCCAGCTATTCAGGAGACTGAGGCAGGAGAATCACTTGAACCCAGGAGAAAGGGGTTGCAGTGAGCCGAGATCATACCACTGCCCTCCAGTCTGGGTGACAGAGTCCATCTCAAGAAAAAAAAAAAAAGTAAGTAAAGATAACAGAAGCAGCAGCAGCTTCTGCTGACCAAGAAGCAGCAAATGTGTTCCCGGACACCATTAAGAAAATCATTGAGGAGAAAGGTTTTCTGCCTGAACTGATCTTTAATGCAGACAAAAGTGCCCAATTGTCAGTGGGGAAAAAAATGTCACAAAGGACATTTTTTTAGTAAGGAAGAGAGGCAAGCAAGCACCAGAATTTAAGGCAGGAAGGCATAGGCTAACTCGACTGCTTTGTGCAATGCAGTCTGGCTTATGATTAGGACTGCCCTTGTCCATAAAGCTGCTAATCCCCAAGCCTTTAAGGTGAAAGAGAAACACCAGCTGCCGGTCTTTTGGTTGTACAACAAGAACACCTGGACGACAAGAACTCTTTCACTTTTTCTGGATTGGTTCCATGACTGCACTGACCCTGAACAGAAAGTACCTTTCCAGTAAACTGCCTTAAAGTTCTTATGACATACGGCAATGCCACCAGCCACCCAGAACCCTATGAGTTTAACACTGATGGTACAGAAGTGGCCTACCTGCCCCCAAACATAACATCTCTATTTCAGCCTCTAGAAAAGGGGGTCATAAGAACTTTTAAAGCTCAATATGCATGATAATGCATGGAAAGCTTTGTCAGTGCTATGGAAGAGGACCCCAGTGCCACATAATGAAAGTCTGGAAGAATTACACCATTGAAGATGCCATTGTTGTTATAGAAAAAGTTGTGAAAGCCATGGAACCTGAAACAATAAATTCCTACTGGAAAAACTGTGTCCAGATGTTATATATGACCTTACAGGATTTACAACAGAGTCAAAGAAATCATGAAAAGGATAATGGATACGGAAAAAAATGATGTGCTGGAGGGGGATTCAAGATATGAATCTTGGAGAGTCTTGGAGATAATAGACAGTACACAAGAGGAATTAATGAAAGCAGATTTAAACCAGTACCAGGCAACGAGAAAGAAGATGCAGAAGAAGTAATGCCAGAAATCAAAGAGGCATTAGACAATTTAGCAGAGGGGTTTCCATTATTCTAGACTCCTGTTGACTTATTTTATGACAAACTCTTTTGTGATATGGGCACAAAAATCAAACAAAATGGTGGAAGAATTGTTACCACATAGAAACATTTTTAGAGAAGTTAAACAGTAATTAGATATAAGTTAGGATGTATTTTTGTAACTCAGGTGTACCTGCCTCTCCTGCCTCCCTTTCCACCTCCTCCAACTCATCTATCTCTGTCGCCTTAGACAGGAGAGGCAACTCCCTTTCTTCCTTCCCCTCCTCAGCCTACTCAATGTGAAGATGAGGAAGATGAAGAGCTTTATGATGATCCTCTTCCACTTAATAAATAGTAGATATATTTTTTCTCCTTTATAGTTTTCTTAATAACATTTTTCTCTAGATTATTGTGAGAATATAGTATATAATGCATATAACGTATAAAATACATGTTAATTGACTGCTTATGTTATCAGTAAGGCTTCCAGTCAACAGTAGGCTATTAAGTTTTTGGGGAGTCAAAATTTCTAAGTGGGTTTTTTGCTGTGCCACCCCTACTCCCTGAATTGTTCAATGGTCACTTGTATATATATTTGGTCTTCACCTTGTTTCCCGATACATAGCTCTTACAACTTTTGGAATCTCTATTGTCATAAGAGTACCTAGTATGATAATAAAATGGTGAGGGGGCTGGTCACAGGATAAATCAATGCATTATTAGAGGGTTTGAGCTATTTGCCCGCCCCTCCAGGTTTGGGGGGAGGGAAAAGAGGCGAGAGGTTAAGTTGATTACTAATGGCAGATAATTTAATCAATCATGATGATAAAGAGACTTCCATGAAACATGAAAACCTAAAAGGACTGGGTTCAGAGCTTCCAGAGAGCTGAACAAGCGGAGGTTCCTAGGAGATGACAAACCCAAAGAGGGCATGGAAGCTCTGTACTTGTTTTTTTGTTTGTGTTTTGAAATAAAGTCTCACTCCAAGTTGGAGTGCAGTAGTGTGATCTCGGCTTACAGCAATCTCCGGCTCCCAGGTTCAAGCAGTTTTGATGCCTCAGCCTCCCAAGTAGCTGGAATTACAGGCGTGGCCACACCCAGATTGTACCTGTTCTTATATGCCTTTCCCTATGCATCTCTTCCATCTGCCTGATCGCTGATATGTATCCTTTGTAATATCCTTTATAATAAACTAGTAAACATAAGCGTTTCCTTGACTTCTCTGAGCTGCTGTAGCAAATTAATCAAACTCAAGAGAAGATCAGCCAGGTGCGGTGGCTCCTACCTGTAACCCCAGTACTTTGAGAGGCCAAGGCGGGTGAATCGCCTAAGGTCAGGAGTTCAAGACTAGCCTGGTCAACATGGTGAAACCCCGTCTCTACTGAAAATACAAAAATTAGTGGGGTGTGGCAGCATACAACTGTAATCCCAGCTACTTGGGAAGCTGAGGCAGGAGAATCACTTGAACCCGGGAGGTGGAGGTTGCAGTCAGCCGAGATTGCCCTATTGCACTCCAGCCTGGGTGACGAGCAAAATTACATCTCAAAAAAAAAAAAAAAAAAAAAAAAAAAAAGAGAGAAGATTGTGGGAACCCTGATTTATAGAGAGTTGGTCAGAAATATGGGTTCTATTACTTCTGACTGGTATCTGAAGTGGAGTGTGAGGGCAGTAAGAGGACTGAGCCCTCAACCTGTGGGATCAGAAACTACCTTGAAGTTGATAGAGTCAGAATTAAATAGAATTAGAGGATACCCAGCTGGTGTCCACTGCAGACTTAATTTTGGATAATTGCTTAGTGTGTGTGGGGGTGAAAAATCCACACACATTTGGTCATAGAAGTGTTCTATGTTGTGAGAGTATAGTATGAGAATCTGAATTTGTTTTCTCCTATATCCTTACTCTCCTCTTTTTCTCCACCAAAGAAATTGTCAAAATATCTAGAATTTTTTCTTTATAACTAGCATATCTAATAAAAATGATAAAATTGGTGATCAGTTGGTATAGACAGGGGCTGGAGAATCTTTGTTAATAGAGTTTGATGCAAATAAAATATGCTGTTGTAATACCAAAGAATAAGTAACTTTGAGTATAAACAGAGGTTGGAGGCAATGCCTTAGCATTAGCAGGCAGAGGGATATCATGTAGGGGACAAAGCAAATAATTTCGAGGTAAGTGAAGAAAAATTATGATTGGGTCAGAACTAGTTTTTCTATTTATTAATTGTGATAAAAAGCAAGCAAGCAAGCAAACAAACAAAAAACAGAATAACCTGGAGGTAATAGAGATCAATATTCAGATAATAAGGCGAATATAATGGGAATACTTGTAAAATAATAGGTATCTTCTAAAAAAGTAAATTTAGCCATAGATTGATTAACTAAAAGCCTATTTTAGGAGTTTGTAAAATGACTGCAGAACAAACATGAATAAAATTTTATTCTTCTTTTATTTGGGAGAATAACTATATGTATTTGTTTTAGGTTTCAGAGAATGACAAAAGGGAAAGTGGGAACCAAACTCTTTTGAAATATTTTTATTCCTCTAAAAAATCATTAAAATTAGTTATAAGGGCGCAAATTTTACAGTCAACAGTATCTGGAGTATTCATGATAATAAAATATAAACACAATTCTTTCAAAATCTTCATAAAATCATTTTAATCACATCTATTCTAAATTTTGTAAAATCATCTTAGACAACTTTTTCTGTCATCACTATCATTGAAAAATTAATAACCCATTGACGGTCTCTACAGAAAAAAATATATACACCATGTATTGCATGTAATTTCAGAGTGATGATTATTTTGTGTAAAACTTACTCTCGATCCAAATTTAAGGGCTTCTAGTGTAGAAGAATGTTTCTCATTAAATAAAGTAAGACCTATAAATGGCTTTTGAAATCTGACTTCTACAGATAAAAAGGTACTTTGTGCCTGCATAACACTGTAAACATGGGGTGGGTTGGTGGTGGGAGAGGTGGAGGACACAGCTAACAGTGTGTCTATATTCATGCACCAGAAATGATTCTGGAACTCTCTGCTCTTATTTTTCTTTTGCTCTTTCAACTGTCTTACTACTCATTCTCTGGGAGGCCCTGTATAACAGCACAAGAAGTAAAAAGGAGATGTATCTAATAAATATATTCCTAATATACTGACTGTAGTAAACACAGCAAGAACAGAAAATGACCCAGCGCATTAAAGGTTATTATAAACTACATTAAACTAACTTATTATTGTAAACAAATAAAAAGCCCTGTAAATATCAGGATATATTTATTTAACAGTTGCATATGTGTGTTGAATAGTCTGAATAACCTCAAGTAATAGCCACACTTTAAGACACTGTAAATTCTTAGCTTGTTATTAAAGCCAGTATTATAATCCTAAATGTCATCTTAAGAAAATCCATGGTTGTAGGATCACAAATACATATAGTCTAACAATATAAGCAATCTTAATTTTCCCTAATTAAAAATTAGAGTAAAATCACCTGCCAGGAGTGATAGCCAAGTATCTTTTACATCAAATTTATCAAAATAATCTTTTAGGATAGAACAATTTTGATCAACTGTGTTAATATTTCAGAACTGCTTATAACAGTACCATAAGTATGCATTTTTTAATGCATGCAACTTACAAGTGATAACTACCCAATGGAACACTAGAAACTTCATCACATTGGTTTATTTTGCAAGTTACTTACTATATGTGTATTCCATTCTCTTCTTGTTCAAATCTTGACATTAAGAGTTCTCCTCATCTCAGAAAGAGCTCCTGAAAAGTATTTTTAGATTATAAAAGATTGCATTTATGCATATACATGCAAATATTTCCCTTAAATAATGATCAATATCTTCTAGCTATTTTCAGTATTTATTAGGAGATGCGGGTCCAAAAACGATCAGCAACTTAGTAGATTATCTCTTAGCACACTTGATTTTTATTGAATGTTGTCAAGGCATCAAAATGTGTGTATTCACTGTTAAAAAGTGTTAAATTTGCATTTATTCTTTCATCAGCTGGGCTAATAGCTGGGTGTTACTGTTGTTTGTGTTGTTGTTTTAAGCAACTGAGGTGTTAAGAGGTCCTAATTAAGTAAATTAAACAAACACAGCATTAAGTTTCAAAATCAAAGTGTTAGAACAGATACCTGTTTGATCTGCAGTTGACTAATGAGAGCAACAGTACATCACAAACACATTTGATGTTATTCCTGGCTCAGCATATTTGGTTTGATTAAAAAAAAAAATCTCACTCAAGTAACTGCCCAATATATTGCTCTGAGAGACTGAGAGGAAATTAATGATTTATTTCTAGCTTACTTGCCCATATTTTGCAAATAAATCAATACATGGATGGATGGGTTTTTTGGAATGCCAATGATCTATGTTACAGTGTAACATTATCATGGGAAGAGCATGGTGGAGTTTGCAGGGCTGAATCACAAAGCACAATACAACACAATAACAACAACAACAACAAACCAGGGGTAAATCATTTCAGCACAATTCACAAATTACACAAAGAAGGTAATGGCTGGCTTACAAGTTCCACAAGCATTACTTGAGACACTTATGGTCCAATGAGGAAAACAATACAGATAATGATAAACTAATAACCACAACTAATGAGAAAACATGATCCAATGAAGTTAATTACATGATAGTTCTTTCGTTCTTTCTAAATTGAACAGGGTAGGTATCACTGAGAAAGAATTTAAGCTGTACCTAAATGAAAAATTATCACGTTCAAACATAAAGTGAGAGAGAGAGAATACAGTAATCCAGATTAAAATAATGTGGGTTAGGAAGCAGGAGACAAGTAGGATGGGAGAACCTAAACACTGAATTTAACTTCAGCCCAAATCAAGGAAAGTAGGAGAAATAAATCGATGTTTATAAGGGAAATTAATAATCTCAGTTTAGTGCCTAATTGAATCTGTAGTACCTATAGGAAATTCAGAACAAAAAGTTCAGGATGAATATCTAAATTTAAGGTATAGATTGAGTAAGTTGCATAAAGGTAATAACTGAAGCTTTGGGAGCATTTGAGATGGCCCAGAACATATGCACGGTGTGGTTAGAGAATAAACCTGTGGAATGCCTATATTTGAAAAGACAAGCAGCAGAAGATGAGAATAAAAGATATGTTCAGAGAGCAGTAGAGGAGCCAAGAGAGAGTATTTCAGATGTTACAAGAGGGTAAGAGTTTCACTGAAAAATAAAAGTGACCAGCATTGTCAATGACACATATTAAGTAGCAGATTTAGCTTAGAAGATTATTTGCACTTTTTGAGGAAGCAAGCCGTTTCATGAAGTGGCAGGCAAAGAAATCAGATTGCAAATTGATTACAAAATTGATCAGTGCAGGAATTGGTCAGAATGAGTAAGGAAGTTTGTGAAAAAGCAGGGTCTGTTTTTTCCAGAGAGAAAGGTACATTGGAAAATGGAAGGCAGCAGGCAAGTGTGTCAAAGAATTAACACATCACTTTAAAAGTATCGTATTTTAATGTGATTTATCTGTGCTATTCATTAAAGAGGTACATCAATCAAGCCTGATTTTCCAACCAGGATAATTAATGGATAACTTGAAACAATTAAATTTCAACATCTCAAGTTGTCTAATACTACCTAACTCGTAGTTACTAAGAATGAAAATGTGTAATGTGTGTGGTTTAAAATAAAAGACTGTGATGATTAATTTTAGGTGTCAACTTTATTGGATTAAAGACTACCTGGGGAGCCAGTAAAGCATTAGTTCTGGGTGTGTCTGGTAGGGTGTTTCCTGAGGAGATTACTGTGTGAGTTGGTGGGTTGGGTGGAGAAGATTCACCCTCAATGTGGTTGTAAAAGGCAGAAGAAAGGTAAATTCTCATTCCCTCTCTCTCCTGGAGATATAACACATTTCTTCTGCCCTAGTGTTGGAGGGTTTCAAACTACAGCGACTCCATTCTCAGTGAGGGATAGGAAAATGAGGCTGGGACTGGCTGGGTTGCATTCCCAGAAACGTAGGTATTCCTAGCCTCTAGATGTTTACGGGCAAGGGAACAGATTGATAATGTTTACTAAACAGACCCAGACTTAGAAGTGTCCTGATATTCTATTACCTTGAGAAAAGAAGCATTCCTAATTTTGCTTTCAAGATCACAATATTGATTCTTGCAAAATATACTAATTAAGAAAAGTAATCCTTTATCACAAACTTTTGCAGCAGAGCACATCTCCTCATAATCTTTTTTTATCCTGTACGTAAACAAGTATTGTACCTAGTGTGGATGTGTTTCTTCTCTTACTTTCGGGAACACCCTATTCCGTCTATGGAGTAGCTGTACTTTCACTACTTTATTAATAAACTTGCTTTTGCTTTGCACTGTGGACTTGCCCTGAGTTTTTTCTTGCACAAGATCCAAGAACCTACTCTAGGGATCTGGATCGGTACCCCTTTCCTGTAACACTCAGACACCAAAAGTTCCAGGCTGTCCAGCATTTGGACCCTGATATTTGCACCAGAGGCTCCCCAGGTTCTCAGGACCTCAGTCTCAGACTGAGAGTTTTACCCTCGACTTCGCTGGTTCTGAAGCTTGAATACTTGTACTGAGCCATGCTACAGGCATCCCAGGATCTCCAGCTTGCAGATGGCCTGTGTCAGGACTTCTCAGCCTCCATAATCACATGAGCCAATTCCCCTAACAAATCACCTCTCATATATCTATCTACATATGTATCTTATTGATTTTGTCTCTCTGGAGAATGCTAATGAAAATAACTTCGCATTTTAAAAATATTTTTTGACAAAAGACGTATACTCATGTGAACAGAGGCTTACAAAGCTCTGAAACTCAATCTCATCATAAATGTTTCCAAAGACTATTATAGGACAAATAATCATGAAAGGAAAAATAAGATATTTCTGCCTTTCTTGTAGACTCTAAAACATGCATTTTTCTCACTTTGAAAGTAATGATGTAAGTCAACAAAGCATTCGGGAAACAAATGTTTTCCACCCAAATAATCTTCAGAAATATTCCTAAGACTATGAAACTATTTTTCAAAGGCCACAATGACTGCTTACATCGCAGACAACCTGAAATTGATGTTCTACAAAATAACTGGATAGTGCTCTTGATAAGTGTCAAATTCTTGATGCACAAAGAAAGACTGAAGAAATGTCAGATTGGAGGCAAAGTGCCTGACAGCTACCTGCAATGTCGGATTCTGGATTGTATCCTAGACTGAATCCTAGACTGTATCCTCAGGGAGACAACTAAGGAAACTCAAATAGGTCTATGAATTAGTTAATAGAATGGGTTCAGTATTAATCTTTTGTTTTCAATAACTGTTCCCTGATTATGCAAGACGTTAACATTTAAGACACTGCTTACAAACTGTCAAGGAATTTCTGTACTACTTTTGAAAATTTTTAATAAGTCTGAAATTATTTAAAAGTTTCTTTTAAATATTTCTAACTACGAATAAAATGAAGAAACAATTATCTGGAAAGAATATAAGAGAGCTGAATTTAACAATGTAATTTTAGGTGTCATGTTGCTTTTTAAAAATTTCAACCAGTTGAAAAATGGCCAGATCCAAGCAACAACAAGAAAACTTACCAATAATGCTGGGATCCTCAAGAAAGAAATTCTTTGTTTACATGTGAAGTAGTCAGTGTGTATCTTAGGAAAAACAAAACAAAAAACCTCAGAATGTGATTTTCAACCTGCATTTTCATGTGACTGTCCTAATGTAAAAGTGATGGTCAAGGCCAAATTTTAAGTTTCCATGCCATATGATTTTGCATTTCTACTCTGTGAAAGACACTAGTTATCATAAACAAAACACTGTCTGTGATTATGAAAATACTGCTGGAATATGATACATGTTTCCCAGTAACAGTATTTCATAGAATCTGTTATGACAAAGAGGCAAGCGAAGTCCTGTTTAGAAATAGAGGAAATAGGAAACCTTTGGATTACCTCAGCAGAAGCCTGGACACACGGCTGTCACCATGGAGAGAATGAGGAAGGGTGTCGGGGCGAAGGGTCATTTGAAACTATTAAAGAATTATGAAGGGCAATGATTGAGACATAAAGGAGAAGGACATTTTAGGAAGAGAAAAAACCTAAGCACAGGCATAGGATAGAAAATGACAGGGTTGTTTTCATTATCTAATTCGAATGAGAGGTGGAAGAGCTCCAAAATTGGAATTTCCTTGAACGATAGCATGTGAGGAAAACACTTTGGGGTTTAAAGAGCCTTAGGGCTCCCATCAAATTATGTGTTGCAAGTAAACACTAACTCCTCCCACATTTAAAACCAGTTTTACTAAATGCTGCTTAATGCATTTCTGTCTCCAAATTCAGCAAAGTTCCATAGAACCTAATATATGAAATGCACGCTTTAGTTGCCATTTCCAAAGTATTGCTGGCAAATTTCCAAGTGCTGGAACTTAAAATAATGCTCTAAGTGCATTGTTTTGTATGTAGCCAATTATAATTCACCTGCAGACTTCTTAAAACGTCAATAATTCGAGACTCTAAACCAGTATCAAATTGTCTACTAAGGTTCCAAAACACTGAAAAACACTGTTAACTGGATATGGATTTCATTCTAGCAGTAATTGCGAAGATATTTTAGCAGCAATTTGCTTCCTGAAACACTAGTCTCAGAATATGTTAATTGGTCTGATGTAAAAAGTAGTCTGTCAGTCAATACCTTTGGTAAACATTGGGTTAAGCAAGGTTAATCAGATTTCTTTACTGTAGAAGATATTGAAACCTTGAAACAATTAATGAGAAATAAGGTATTTAATGAAGAAGAAGATAAGATGCATTGTCACAGAAACCCAGCAGAAATCTAGTGATAAAAGTGTTCTAGAACACATACTTTGGAAAAGTGTGAACCAAATGCATCTCTGTTTGGCCTCATTTTAAATATATCGGACATTTGATGGGACAGCTTATCCAAATGTTCATGAAGAAAGAGAAAATTTCTCCTAAACAACTAGATTTCTGCATACTTGTTATTACAACATTTCCAATTAATGCCGTCTGTGGGAAAATTTTCTCTACTTGAGAAAATGTCTCAAAGCAGAAATTGGTGAGAGGAAAACAAATCACGAACAGATATGTCCTTTTCTGCCAATTTCTTCAGGGAACAAAAGCTAGTTAGTCAACCAGAAGCCTGAATTTTATTCATCTTATAATTAAATCACTTGAAATGATCACTTAGATGATAATGAAACACTGCAATAGGAAAAGCAAATCACTAGATAAGTTTCAAAAAAAGGCATAAGAATTGGAGCAGCAGTTTGAAGATATTTATCTATATTGCAGGTTTGTCTTATAACGCCAGCCACAACATGTACATCCATGAAAAATAATTATGTAATGTCAACACTTTGGAATTGGTTCACAATTTCAGATATTAGGAGCTAAAAAAAAAAAAAAAAAGGATATCTATGCCAATCATGTTATGGTTCTATGGCTTGAGAAGTAAGAGACATATAAATGTCTAACACTAGAATCTGGGGCAGCAGAAAGAATGATACCAAACAAAAACTTTAATATGTCAAACCTAATTTGAAAATGTCAATACAATGTCATCCGATTGTTTCTCTGAGAAGGTAAATTTTGTGATTGTAGTAGGGATTGAGATTAAAGATATTTATCATATCTACCATCATATTTATCTTATTTCTTAATCATGGAAGTGTTTAAAGTTTTCTTGGTACTTTTATCAGGCTACTTACATAGTAATTTTCAGTTTACAGCCATCCCTCAATTGACAAACAGTGAGATTATCCTTTCTCAAGTGGATGATCAGAATTCCCAGTCATGGGGAAGACATCATATACTCTTCAAAAGAATAATGTATGTTTTAACATAACTTCTTGTGTGGGGGATTTATCAGCATCCAAAAGCACCTTGTTTTCTTATAGAGTTCTAGAATTAGGTCCCCCCACACAAATAAATTACTTAATTGGGGTAGTCACCTCTTGTCCAGAAGTGACATGTTTTAGAAATGTGAATCTTGGAGAAAATGCTGGATTTTATTGCTCTTACTACTAGTAAGAATGTATCTAACTTCAGTCCAACTATCTCTAAGTTGCTATTACAATATTTTTTCTCACGATTTTTGTAAATCTCACTCTCCACAATATTCAGCAAACTCATGAGGAAGAAAGATTGTCACAGTATGTATACAAAGTTTTCAGTAAAGATTGATGATCAGAATAATACTTGATTTGAAAATATTGCAATGCTTAAATATTATTTAGAGTACAAAAATAATAGGTTTGCTAAAGCAAAGTTGGTCCTTCTTTCTCCTCTAAGCAATTAAGTGTTTGCATCTTGTTCAATACTCCCTCCCTGGAAAAGGAAGTGCTAGCCTTATGTGGCAGCCACCTGCAGTGAAGAAAACAGCCTTCAGTTGTCCTGCCTGGAAGGTTCTTCCCCCAGGTGTAGGCTATATTAGCTTCAAGTCTTCCAACTTTTTATTCAAGGATTATTTCTTCAGGGAAGTTCTCACCAACTACCCTACCTACAATTGTTATTAACCTTCTGGGCTCAAATGGATCCTCCCACCTCATGCACCCAAGTAGCTGGGATTAGAAGTGTGTGACACCATTCCTGGTTAATTTTTGTGTTTTATTGTTGGTACAGACAAGGTTTCACCATGTTGCCCAGGTCTCAAATTCCTTGGCCTAAGCAATCCACCACCTCAGCCTCCCAAACTGCTGGGATGACAGGCGTGAGGCACTGTACCCAGCATCTCTTAATTATTAATCATTATCAACATACTGTATACTTTACCTACTTGTTACCTAATACTGAACTAAAATGTAGTCTCCACAAAGATAAGGAGTTTTGTCTTTTTCTTTCGGTTCTACATCACCAGCACCTAGGAGAGTCCATGGCTTAAACAGATGCTCAATAATCATTGAATGACTAAATCACCATCATTATAAAAGATTTCTTTTATGTATACAGGTAATTCTGCTATTTGGTGCACTTTGTTAAATAATTACATACCCCAAACCCTTTAAAAGCTCAACAGAAATTATTAAATGCTGATATAGGCAGATGTCGGTGTTGGGCAATCACTAAAATGAATAGCCAATAAAATTAATATTGGGCAATCAATAAAATGTTATAAAAATACATTATGATGAGTGGATATTCATGTAACATATAAAAACAACACACCTTAAAAAATAGTAAAACAAAATGGATATTGAAAGAAATATTAGCAGTCTGTTATATGTATACCTCTCTAAATTTTAAAACACAGGCTCATCTTTTTTTTCCAAATTTTTTTCTTAATAAGTCCCAAGAAGCACACTCAAATTGGTCATCTAGTTATTATATTCTTTATCCAGATTTTATATTCATTTGCTATTATTTTATTTTACGGCTCTTGTGTTTTCAACTTGGTTGTAAGTTTCTGGAAGGCAAGATTACGTACAACAGTGGCCCTACAGCATCTAACTCAGGAGTAAATGCTCGGCCAACCCTGATTATATATGTGTTGATTGATTGGTTGATTGACTCATTTATGATATCTAATCTAGTATCTATAGATATAGAAGTAGTTCTCTGTAACCTTCAAGTCAATGAGCTCTATAGAATGACACCAAGGTAACAAGCAAAAGAGATAGCACATCCAGCCCTTACTCGGCAATAATATGACATTTAGGGTATCATGGGAATTTCTAATTGAAAAGTTGAAGGAAAAATCACATTTTACAAAGAAAGGACCCATACAACTATGAAACCAAATGCACTATCTTGAAAGCAATTTGCAAAGGCATTCAAAACTTTTTATATATGAAATGTCAAAATTAGGAAAATGATATTCAGTGTCATTAATTATTGCACAATATGAAATTTACTTAAACTATTGTCAAACATTTGGATTATTTTTAAATTTTGTTATATGTAAGTCTATAATGTATGTTAGCTAAATTTCTGTATGATCATAGAATTTCTTTATTTGTAAATAAAGAAAGCTACTCATCTCTTGAGTAGCTTCCATGCTTAGGCTTGGACTTCCAAAAAGCCAGTGAGTCACACTGGGGAGGTCTGTAGCACAGTTTAAATACGGGATTATAGTAGAATCCTAAGAACACTCTGATTTTTTGCTGGGAGTAACAATCCTTGCAGTGATTAAAATACATGAAATATGATGCAGTTTCCAATGAGTGAAATAAAACCATTACCAGACACATGCTACTTTTTTCTGAAAGACAATTTGTGAAGTCCTCAAACAGCACAACATACAACTTCTTGAAATATTGATATTTAATATACTTATATTTGGAATAGCACCATGAAAGTCATAAAACACCTGCCTTTCACTCAAAAACAGTGCTCCACTAATTAAATTCAAAACCTGAAGGAATTAAGCTCAGTTTCAAAATTATCTCCTTAGCCAAAAGTTTTGGAGAATAATCTAAATATTGTTCAGGGCCACAGTAGTCTGAAAGTCAAAGAGAGAAATCAGACTAAAATGGGAAGGACATTTATCAGTAGCAAAAACTGCATATCAAAACATAAAACAGAAATTAATATGAAAGCTGCAGTTAAGTCATGACTGATTTGAGAAGAATTGTGACTATTTAAAATATGTAAACCATCTTGAATGTTAGTTTTTCAAGCAAGAAATTCCAAGTATTCAGGCATTTAAAGATTTTAAGATGGTCAACATTTTTATTGGCATGTTTAAAATGCTCCCATTTTAATTAAGGAATGCAATTTTAAAGGCTAATAGAATGAATGGAGCTATATTAAGTTTTGAGCCACTTTTAAAAATGTAATATCTACTCATATAATTTAACACAATGAAATTAAATATATATACATATATTTTATATGAATATACATACACTTACATCACATATGTATATTTATATGCATGTATTTTAAAAATTTTGCCAGCAGTTTATTAAGTTTCATTAAAACATCACATTTGGATAATTAGTGAGATTGCATTAATAATAGATTAATGTATGATCTTTCAATCTGTGAACATGGTATGTCTTTTAATTGATTACATATGTTTAGTAGATCTTATTTCAACCAAGTTTCAGTATAAAAAATCAAAGTCAAACATCAAAAATGTTAGTGCATCTAAAAAGCCTTTCTGAGAAACATACTGCATGCAAGTAAATGAAAAAAAATCCAGAATAATTTCATAGAAATCTTTCAGAATAGACAATCACTTGGAAACTACCTCTGTCATAAACAGGAGCAAGAGTATCCTGGGGGAGGAGACTAAGTTAAAAAGGGTGATTTCAAATTTTAGATCATACATTCATATTCCAGAGAGAATAAGAAATCGACATGCCCTATAAATATCTGTTCTAAATCTAGGTAAAATACATTTCAGAGAAACTTATTTTGATAATACAAAGTCCTGTTTTTCTTCCAATCAGAAAGGAAGCACTCATAATCTCACATTTTAAAATTCAATAAAATCAACTTTTAGCTATGTAACAAATATTGGTTAGAACACAAGTGAGAGTTTTCTTTGCTATATGCTTTACCCATATTTGAGGGAACAGTTTTTAAGAAACAAATTACGTGTCACTTGACATGTCTTCTTTTCTAATAGAAAAGGAGTTCTTTACTTAAAAAATTGAAATTGCATTATTTGTATAAAGTTCTAGCAGCTAAGTACTAATTCACAGACTAACCTTTGAAAATTACCTACAATTTGTTTTTACTTTACACTATTACCAGTTACCAATTTACAATGTATACTTTAATCATTTAAGAGCCATTTTATAGAGTTTATTCTTAACAAAGATCAATAATAATATCATCTATATTCTATGTATTTCCAATAACTGAAATTAAAACCTTTGGTGAAACACTATTCCTAAAAACAAATATATTTGGTAAATATATCTTATAAATTTATCTTAAAAGCCACTTTATGAGCAAAGTATGAGTACACATTGTTATTAATAACTCTCCCACAACCAAACAATTTAAATTGATGCAGCCAAGGTTTTGATTTAGGGAGAAAAATACAAAAAGGACCTTTCAGATTTTTGTCATGTCCATATTGTTCAATGGTATCATCCTCAAAACAGATTAAATTTTAACTTGTAGTATATATACAAAGGGATCATTTCAATACGAAAGAATTCTAGCATTTGCAAACAATAAAAGAACAGATTTCCTCATGTTGCAACATCAAAGCAACCAGCCTTTTTGTTATACTGGATGCCCAAGTTTCAAAGGCTTAAATCACCATAACCTCATGAGACCACCTGGCATTTATTTCTTTTAATATCTCTTGTCAAAAACAAGGCAGTGATCAGGCATGAAACACCACAGTGCACTCTACTTTAAATGCCCCATCTTGTCATAATTGTTCTTTTTAAAGAGAAGGGTCCTTAATATATTAATGAGCACTATTGTGAAGTAGAAAACCTAACCACAAAGGGTAGCCGTGTCCCCTGAACTGATACAGATTTCCGCTTAGAAACTAGAAGGTAATTCAAATACTTAATCAATAGTCATTTCTCCAAAAGCAGGACTGTTTAATAATGATAGAATAAAATATCAGATTTAAGTTTAAATCTTTGTTTAAAACAGTATTTTTAATTCATCAAGGTTCTCATCTCATTACTTTGTACAATACACATGGTATAATTGACTAGGTTTTGTATAATTCATCTGGGTTTTGTATTATGTTCTCACATGTAAAACATGTATAACTGTGCCTTCTCCTCGTTGAGCTGGATATCACCGAGGAACAAGAACTGGCATTGGGTATAGCAAGAGGACCTATTGGGGACACAGAAACAAGCCGGTGAAACAAACCACAATTACTTTTGCACCAACCTGATACATAGAAAAGGAAAATAATGCTTGTTTTGCTTTGTTTTTTAGTGGCTCCTGGCTAAATGTTTCATAAATATCATACATGAAGGAATTCCTGTTATAGATGCTGGTAGAACCACTCTTTTCCTTGGAGAGAGATATATATGTTCACCAGAGTGTCTGATTCAACAATACCTCAACAAAAGCATGCCTTTGTGGTCTGCATCACACAATCCCACCAAAAGCAGCTTTTATAAATTGGATTGGTGTTAAAGTACATGTTCTCTTCAATACACAGAGCTCAATAACTTGATCAATGCAATTATCTTGAAAATGACTAGAAGCCAAGTATACAAAGATAGAAGACAGATACATAACTATTAAAGTCTCTGACAGGGGGTTTTGAAAATAAATTGCTATAAAGCAAGCTATTACTTGTACTGGTACTTGCTACACAAAGCAGAAATGGGACAGAAAAGAGAAAATATGGAAGTAATCACTAAGAGAACCACAAAATTCCAGGAAAAGTATTTGAAATTAGTAGCAATCAGGAGTTGACAGATGGAGCAAAAATCGCTACTCTGAGTGGCACATGCAAGAAAAGGGTCTTTTCAGGAGACACTTCGAATGCTATAGTCTGTAGAGGGAGGAATGTCTTCTGCAGGGAGCTGCCCTCACTCCTCCTCTGTTGACATACATACTTTCAGGAAGGTTAAATATAACTCTCTTCTGGAAAATATCCTATAACCTTCCCAAGAGAGTTAATGGCTCTTGTTCAATATTTTCAAGAATTTGGGTCATACGTCTGGATTGTAA